AATAATAAATTTTCTTATTAAATAAAATTATATATTTTGTTAGTTTTATTGATATATTATATCATTAAGAAATTTTTAAAGGTATATATTTTTAAAATATTTCATTATTTATAAAAATTTTCAAAGGTTTTTATATGTAAAATTATATTTTTTGAATTCACTTGTGATTTATGAAACTTGAAATGATTTTTTACTAAGGTATTTATATGATAGATAGAAAGGACTTGTTTTTGGTTACAAGATGATATGTGTTTCATTTCTGTAACATCGATATTCATCAAATTATTACAGAATTATTACAGTTTGAATTAAAATATCTGTGAAAAATCTTGTAATTTGGTTGACCCCATTGGTCCCATCAATCCCATTGGTTTTAGACTGAAGCTGATGGGATCGATGGGGCTGATTGGTTGATTTGAACTTATCAAACTTATCAATTCCATTGACCCCATTCGGCCCTATCAACTTGAGCGATTTGGTCCAGTTCGGTTTGACTTATACTTTCAAGTCGATGGGATTTGGTTCGGTTCAGCTTGACTTTGGCCTCAAGTTAGACTAAGCTGAATTGTTGCCAACACTAATCTGATTCCCTTGTTAAGAGACTCTTGATATTTATCCATACTTGTTTTACTACAAGTAATTCTATTAACACTAGAGAAAAAATTTTCTTCTATATTTTTGTACTAGTTTTTTTTTTTATTTTTAGTTTTTGTATATTCTTATTGTGGAATTTTATTTTTCTAATAGAATGTAGAAAGAGTTTTTCTTTAAAATTTAATTGTAAATTAGTTTACTTTTTCTATAAACAAACAAAATATATAAAAAAATTTTTTGATTTATAATAAATCTTTTGTCATTGATAAAAAGATTAACAAAAAAAAAAAATTCAATTATAAATTAAATTTCTTAAAAATAAAAATATTCAATAGTAAGTAATACAAAATTAGTTATAATTTTTTTTTAAGTAAAATTCTTCTAATTTTAATTTAACATTAATATTTAGAATAAAGTAAAAAATACATATTGAAAAAATAACAATAAATTAAGTTATATTATTATTTAAAACAAAATAATTTCAAAACAAGAATTTTCTGATAACAAATAATTATAGTAACATAATAATAATTAAAAATTTATTATATGTAATGAAATTGAAAAATAAAAAATCAGCTGTATATTTTGATTCACGTGATTATTTGAAAGAGTTTATTCTTTTTTGTTTTTTTTTCTTTTTCTCTTTTTTTTATTTGAATCTATTTCAGATTCCTTATTATTAATTGAATCTTTTGTTTCATTATTAATTTCATTTTCATATTTTCTTTTATTTGATATCTGTAAAAAATAAATAAATAATAAATAAATAATTAAATTAATTAAATTAATTAAATTATATATAAATTAATTTACCTTATTTTCATCTTTATTATTTTTAATATTCTGAGATGCAGGAGATGATGGTAATGGTGATGGTTTGGATTTCTTTTTCTTGCAACTTAAAGGATTAGGTTCTTTAACTCCTTTAAATTTTCTTTTCTTTTTAATAATTTCATTTTCTTCTTTAATGATTGTATCTGAATTTGTTTTTTTTAAAAATTTTATCTCATTTCTTGGTGCAAGAGTTTTTTCAAATTCAGCCTTTGAAATTTAAAAATTATAAAAATATAAATATATAAGAAAAATAAAACATAAATAAAAATTTGTCATCATCATCATCATTATTATTATATAATTATCAAAAAAAAAAAAAAAACCTTTTTAGCTATTTCCAATGTAGCTCTTGAAGGAGGTTCAACTATCAGAACCGATCTATTTATATATAATAAAGGAACACCAGGAATATTGCGAAATGATTCACGAAGTAATTCATTTTGAGTAGCAATACAATAATTATGAGGGTTATCCTGTTCTTAAAAAAATTAAAAATAAATAAATATTAAATAAAAAAATAAAAATAAAAATGAATAATATACATACATATATATATATATTACCTATAATAGAACTTAAACACTCTGCACTTGTAACTGCTTTTTTTCTATGCAAACAACGTCGTTGTTCAAATTTTTGTAATTCCAATTCTGTTTCTTCCCAATCTTTACCTTGTTTTCTCACCTCTTTCAAAGTACAAGATGTATACACTGAAAATAAAATAATTTTTTTTTTTATATATATTTAATATTTTATAATATTTTAAATTTCGTGACAACAAAATAAATAATAATAAAAATAATAATAAAAATAATAATAATACTTTGTTTTGTTTTTCCAAGCATTACGTTACATAGTTGATCACATATATTCATTTTATATCTTAAAGCCATAAACAGAAAGTTTCCATCAACTATTTTATGTTAATAATAATAATAATAATAATAATAATTATTATTATTATTATTAGTAGTAGTCAAAGAAATATGTAAAATAGCATTTTGAGAGAATTATCCCCTTCTTTTATAAAGGGATTGAAAGATCGTTGTTACCCAAAATTTGATATGGTTCTCTAAATCCAAAAGAGGTGGAGTATAGTGCCATAAGACGTTTATACTGTTTCGATCGTTTCTGTCGCATATTGTTAAAATATTTAAAATATCAAAAGAGATTAAGCATTTAATCAAAGGATTTTTGTGCTATCATTTATTATTTTTTTTTTGTCACGTTCATAAAAATCTACTAATATGTATGTTATATAATTATTAATTATATACAAATAATTAATTTTTTTTTAATATTCATTCAAGGTATTTATTATTATAATAATAAAGGAAAAAGAAGAAAGAATCATATAAAGAAAATAAATTCATTATTATTTTTTTTTTAATATAAATAACAGAAAACGTCTAATCAAAACATGTACTGATAAAATGAACAGTAATGAATAAGTAACATTAAAGTAAAAGATAGATAGATATATATTTATATATACGCTTTTTTAATCGATTAATCTCTTTCGTTGGAAGTATTTCTTGAGATAAATAATTTGCCAACCTCCTAATAAAATAAATATAAATACTGTTCCAAGACTGAACCATTGGACACGTTCGTTTGTTGATTCTTTATATCAAAAAATAAAAAATAATAAAATTTAATAAATATTTTTTAATATATATAATATAATATATACATTTTTTAAATTAGAATAATAATAATTTCTTTTCTTACCATTAGTATCTCTCATTCTAGCTTCTCGGCTTCGTAAATATTCCATTTCATCCACAATTTCTTGAACTACTTGTTCTAATTTTCTCAATTCAGCTTCCATAGGTTTCAATTTTTCAGATTTTACTAATTGATTATAATCTATTGCTTCTGCTCCCACATCTACATCTAAATCAACTGTACGATGATATTGTGAATTGGCTTGAAATTCTAAAAAAAAAAAAAGTTCATAAATAAATAAAGAAAGAAATAATTAATTTAATTTTAATTAAATGATAATTATTATAATTGCAATTGCAATTGAATGATAATAATTAATATAATGAAGACGTACGTGCATCTAAAATATTTACAAAGCATATTGATATATCAGCGTCGGCGTGAGTTGTAAATGCTATACGAGTTTCTTCGTCTAAATCTCGTTTTTGACCATATTTATTATGAGCATCGCTATTATCAGTCACCTATATAAAAGAATTCTATGAATAAACCAATTTATCTGACCTTATTGTGACCTTTTAATATTTTACCTCAACATCAATTTTTTGATTATATCCAGTTCCAATCTTTATTGTTACCACCACTAATGTATCAGTTGGAACATATTGAGAAATACATTTTGGTATGACGTGGTCTGGTGGTGTTGCGTGAAGGTCAAATTTTATTCCTTTTACCACCGGCAATACCGTTGAAAATAGTGATAATAATAATAATAATAATAAACTGTTGTAGTATAGAGAGAACGAAAGTATCCTATTATGTGACATTTTGAACCGGACACCAAAGTTTTTGTTGTGGTTCTTGAAAAAAGTTTATATTATATATATATATAAAATATAGGTATATTATAACAAATGATCTATCTACACCAATTAATCTTTGATTGGATGAAATAAATAAGAGGTAAAAAAAAAAAAAAAAAAAGCAAGGTAATCTTGCCGTTGCCAGGAATCGAACCTGGGCTAGCGCGGCCACAACGCGATGTACTGCCACTATACGACAACGGCTCGATATGAGTACAAGTATAATTTTTTTGTAACTCTTAAATTATTCGATTTTCAAGTGTAAAAATAGATAACTCGTACCTATTTTTTGCACGTGTTACACTGCGTATCACATTTTTTATTTTATTTTTTTTTTTACGTGTAGAACTAGAGATTTCGCAAAATCAACATTTTACAATTAATTATTTCCAAGAATATATAAAGAGTAAATTAAGAGGAATATTAAAATGAATTATTATTATCGTCATTTAATTAACGCAAGTTATAATAAACTGAAAAAAATTATTAAAAAAATTATTATTACATGATCATAAAAGTAAAAAAAAAAAAAAATTAGATTAAATTTTTAGAATGGATTAATATTATTTGAGATTTTCGATCTCTTCGTCAATATCAGAAATAAATTCTTTAAGTTTGTTCCATTGTTCTGGTTGTAAAGCGATTCCTATTATTATTATTGTTATAATTATTGTTATAATTATTGTTATTATTATTGTTTTTAATTATTGTTTTATAATTATTATTTTATAATTATTGTTTTTATAATTATTGTTTTTATAATTATTATTTTAATATAATAATAAATGTTCAAAATACCTTTTTTAGTAGGATTACTTTCTCCATCAGAATTTGTAAAGAATTCACGAAAGTCAATTAATATCATATTTTTAAATTTACGAACAGTCACTCGTTTCTTCTCTGACAACTACAAAAAAATTCAAAAATCTTTTTTAAAAAACAATCATCTACTTGGAATAATTTCACATGCCTGCCTATTCATTATTATCATTCTTTATTAACTGATAATTTTTTATTACCTTAAAATAAGCTTCTCCGTCACCATTTTCTCCACGGTCATCATCACGCTCTCGTATAGCTTTCTTTTTATTAGACTAATAATAATAATAATAATAATTTTTTATTAATAATATTAATATACATATGTATGTATATTAGACTCCATTATATATATATATATATATATATATTGAAATTGCCTTGGATTCTTGTGTTTTTTGACTAGATTCCGAAGGTTCCATTTTTGTATCTTTATTATCTTTATCCTTTGACTGATATTATATACATATATTCACATTAAAAACCTATTAAACCCTTTTTGTAAGATCAAAAATAAAAATAAATAAAAAAAGAGATGTCTAACAGTCGTGATATCTCCAGCAGCTTCATCACTATCTTCTATATAATCATTATTTTTTCTTTTCGGCATGGTTGGAAAGTAATAACGTTTATATAAGTCAGAGTTAAATTTATTAAGATTAAACGCGAAAAGTCTTATCAGTTTCATTTTCTCAGATAAATACAATAAAGTAGTACATAACGAAAGTCAGATGATCCATTAATAAACAAACAAATAATTAAAAAATAAACATTTTGTTTGTCCTTTACATTTTTATAATATTCTTCTTTAATATATACTCTACATGATAATAAAATGAAAAATGGTTTATGAAATTCCTTCGGATAAAAATACCCAAAAATCAATAATCTTAGAGAATATATCAATACTTACAGAATATCAAAAATTAATAGATCGATTTTTTTCGGCAATTTCAGCAAATGCAGAAGGAAAGTCACTCGATCGTTCACCTGTTGATATCATGAAAGATATTGTGGAGTTGGATAAAAAAATGCAGCAAGGTCTCGATCAAAGTAAGAATAAATATTGTTGAAAAAAAAAAAAAAAACCAAATATAATTATTTAAAATAATAATTTTTATATATAATAATAATAATTAATTAAAAATAGAATTAACTGAAATAATAATAATAATAATAATAATAATAATAATAATAATAATAATAATAATAATAAATAAATAAAAAAATTAAATTAATTAAAATTATTTAATAAAATGCTGACGATGATAATAATAATATTGGTGAATAATGATGATGGATAATAATAATAATAATATTGATGATTGGAAAAATAATTTTTTTAAAAAAAAAAAAAAGTTGAAGAACATCAAAGAATTCATCATAAAATATTGCAAGTCGAAAATGAAATCAATGCAGAAAATAATGCAATTGTGGATTTCGTGAATTATTTAAGAAAAGGGAAAGAACAAATTGATGATTTTTTGGAATCTTCACGGAATACCATGAGAGCAATAGAATTGGCTAGTCAATGTAATTTTTAATTTTTAATTTTTAATTTTTTTTTATTATATTTAAAATTTAAATTTTTTATGATATATATAAAGAGTCTTGCTCGCAATTCTTCACGAGTTAAAATCAATTGTAATTAAATTAATTGAATTGACAACTTTTTCTGTTTTTTTCTTTGAATTACGACACACACATATATAATAATTAATTAACTATTTATTTATTTTTAATAGCTAACGTGACAGCAGATGAAATATTGAAATATGCCAATAGAATTAGTAAATATACAGCAGCACCTCCAGGTTACGATTTAACAAGACCAACCGAATTACAAGTTGAACCTCCACATCCAATTGAAGCCATAATGCGAAAAGGATTATTGTTTCGTCAAGAATATCTTGGTATGAATTTTGGAGGTCAGTATTTCATTATTATTTTTATTATTTTTATTATTTTTATTATTTTTATTATTTTTATTATTATTATTATTATTTTTATTATTATTTTTATTATTATTTTTATTTACAATTATTAATAGTATTTAATTTAATAATATTTATAATCTTTATAAATCTGTAAAGCATTACAAAATGAAGAAGAAGAGGAGGAGGAAGAAGATGATGATGATGAATTTACTACTACATTTAATATTAATAACAATAATAATAACAACAACAACAACAATAACAATAATAATAATAATAATAATAATGAAGATAATCATCACAACAAATTTAATTCAGAGGATGCTATGTTACCACATGCAGAAGAGTTTAATTTAGATCTTAACCCTGAATTGGAATGAAAAATCACTTAAAATGTATTAAATAAATAAACACACACAAATATATATATATAATGTATTAAACATTTTAAATATTTATCAAATGCATTAAAATATAAATATCAAATGCATTAAATTTTATCAAAATGCATTTTTTATCATTTACATTTCATTTCATTTTTTTTTAATAAAAAAAACAAAATATCACCAAAACTTTTACTTATTTTGGATATGTTTAGTTATTGATCAAATAAAGAAGAGATTTTAGATGATCTCTCTAAAAAAAAAAACCCCACATATATTAATCAATTATTTCGAATCGTAAACTGTGTGATGCTAGTGCAGCTAATTCCCACTTTGCTTTTTTGTTTTGTGTGAGAAAATTTTTTAATCTATCTGTACATGTCGTCTATCTACATACCGTATATTACCGTCTATCTATATATACTGTCTATCTATATAACCGTATATATCTATATTATTAAAATTTTTACCGAACGCCCAAACCCTATTCTTTGTTTATATCAATATTATAATAATAATAATAATAATAATAATAATAATAATAATGATAATAATTATAAGATTATGCGTGCCAATCGAATATGGTGAATGATGAATGCATTATTATTATCATTATTAACTAATATAAATTCTATTTACCTATTATATTAGACGATTATATTAGACAATTATATTAAGCTATTATCGGTTATATTTATATTGAAGATTCTAATTAACTATATTTATTTTGAATTATTTTACTATATTTATTTTTGAAACTGCAGAAGAACTGATTGTAACCAATCTTTTATCAAAAAGATGGTGTAATTATTATTTATGATTACAATTCTTTTTTTATTTTCTTTCTTTTCTTTGATATTATAATGTCTTACAAAATGATGTGTAAATTTTTATTTTTATTTTTTTAGAATATAAAGAACTCGAGACCCGAAACTTCAAAACGAAACAAATTTTAATTTATTTTTTTTCGATCATTATTTGTATACTTGCATCTGCGTACATACATAAATTTATCTATAAAGAAAATATTGATTTATTTATATATATTTATGAAAGAGAGAGAATTCTTTTTATAATTTAAACTAAATTTTATTAATTTGTAATACGCATTACATATTTAAAATGTCGTAATTTTTACTACGGAAATTTTGAAAACTTTAAAATACTTTAAAAAGAATAAAAAAAATCCATGAGGCAATTAAAACGACAGAATGATTATGGACACGTGTGAATAATCGTTAACTTTCTCTGGTTATCTTTATAATACGTATAATAACAATAGCATAAATATAGTATAATATAGAATATAATACAATATAATATCCCATTATTAATCTATAAATGTTTCTAGAATTATTCTTTATAGAAATTAATTAAAGCCTCTGATAATCTATATTAATATATTTATCAGATGTTAATTATATTATTATGTATAATCTATCGAAAATAAAACATCATTCGTATGATTATTATTATCTTTTATTTATTTATTATTTTGCACCACCTACTAATAACCGCAGTTCATTACACAAAAAAAGATTAACCCTTTGTGTTGGGTGCGTTTTGTGTATGTGGAGTAAAAAGTGGAGTTCATAGATTAACTTTCTATACGTAGTAATGAATCATATATATACATATATATATAAGTATAGTATTTTTCTGATATATATAAATTAACCTCCTTTTCTTTCTCTCATATATCAATTTTTTTTTTTGGTATTTTTTTATTTTTTTTTATAAAAAAAAAAGAATTTACAAAATAGAATATAAAAAAAATTCTAAATATAAATATCCTAATATAAATATAAAATATTCTGAATATTAAAAAAATATCCCTGAATATAATAATAAATAAATTCAAAATATAAAATAAAAATATCCAAATATATCCAAATATATTCAAATATTCAAAATATCCCCTTCAAAAAAACAATAAAATATACTAGAAACAAATATCCAAATATGGAATTACCTGGTCCAAATATAGGTTTATCTCCTCGCAATAGACAACCGTTAGGATCCTTTTCTCAAACATTGCAATATACCAAAAGCCCCAATATGTCCCGGTCATATTTAAGTTCTCATAATATAATAGAGTCTGGTATGTATTTATATATGTATATATATTATTTTTATTATCTTACCCATTTACTACCATTTTATTATCATTGCACTACACCACCAGTACAACTATCAAGGGAAAAAATAATCTTGATCTCTTTTTAAATACATATATAGATATATTAAATTTGCCAAAAAAATGTAGACTTTCCCTATTTTATTTTATCATCATCTGATTTATCTGATTTTAATCAGATCGGGATAATTGATTTTGATAACATTGTGTATCCCCAGATAATCATTGAACTAATTTTGAAATACAATGTAGCTCATGTGATTCATTATTTTAATTTTTTTTTTTGAATTTTATTTTACATTTTTTATTTACATTTTTTATTTTAATTAAATTAATTTTTTTACGAAAATTATGAAAATTATCTAGCAAAAAATAAAAAAATAAAAATAGAAAAATAAAAAAAATAAAAAAAATAAAAAAAAATAAAAATAAAATAAATCAAATTTCATGAAGAATCGATAGTAAAAAAAAATAGTAAAATTGATAGTAAAAATAATTTTTTAATATTTAAAATTTTTTCTTTTTTCTTTTTTATTATTATTATTATTATACCTTTATAGGACATCCTTCATATTCAGCTTCCCCATTTAAAATTCGAACACAAACATTAGCTCTTGCTGATTTAGCTAATAGTGATAATAGTGATGAGGATGATAGTTATAAAATAGATTCATCCATTAATCCCATTGTTGATCCCGTTGATCCAAATGTTACAAGTAATTTATCAAAACTTCTTCAGAAGGAGTCAAAAACCCCTTCACCAACTAATTTATCACCAGCTACAACAAAAGTAACAATAACATCAACATCAATTAGTAATAATAATAATAATAATAATAATAATAATGATAATCCTGAGATCAAAATTAGTAAAGTAAAATCACAACGACATGATTTAGATGATCCAAAAGGAGAATCAAGACCATTATTATCCAATAATAATAATGTTTTTTATAATAATAATAATGATGATAATAATAATAATAATAATAATAATAATATTGATAATGAAAATAACAATAGTATTAGAGATGAAATTTTATTGGAAGAAAATTTTTGGGAAGAGAAATCATGGTATGAATGGTTACCATGTGTAGGAGGGGATGGTGGTGATCAATTACAATTTAGACAAAATAGTGTTCAATTCACTCCGCAAGCAATTCTTCAGAATTTCTTTTTAAATCCAATTTCTTACATCCCTGCGGTTATTCTGGGATTATTATTAAATTTGTTGGATGCCATATCTTATGGTAAATTCATTCATTCATTCATTCATTCATTCATTCATTCAATTATTTATTCATTCATGTGATTCTCTCATTCACGTAATTTATTCATTCAATTTTTTGATTTCTTTTGATTCCTCTTAGGAATGATCACATTTCCCATAAGTAATGATGTATTTGCTGATTTTGGGCCTGATGGGATTTCAATGTTTTTTGTAAGGTAAGTTAAGAAATTTAATTAATTAATTATTTAATTATTTCAATGTCAATGTAATTATTTATTTCATGTATTTAATTTATTATTAGTTGTATCGTCTCCCAATTGGTTTATTCTGGCGGTTTTAGTATATTTGGGGGTGGAAATGGTAGCATGATGATAGAAGGTTTGTCTTATTATTATTATTATTATAATAATATTATATGTATATATTTCTTTGATCTAATTTTATAAAAAACAAAATCTTTCCTTTTCTTACAATAAATGTAGTTGTCCCTTTCTTGCATATTATGTAAGTGAGATCAACATCTTTTTATATATATTTGATTTCTAGTCAAAAAGAATAGAATATATATTTACATATAAATATAATAGGGCCGATATTATTGCTAAAGGAATTGGTGATGATAGAGATGCGATTATTGCCACTACCATTTTATCATTTGCTCTAAGTTCAATTCTCACTGGAGTTGTCTTTTTATTGTTGGGTGCATTCAAGGTAATTGTTGTGTAATTGGATGTTTATTAATCGTTTGTCATATATTTTAATTTTATTTTATTTTAATTATTATCATTAATTTTATTTTTTATTTTCATTATTATTATTTTTTTTTTTTTTTTACAATTTTACAATTTTACAATTAAAAAGCTTGGATCCTTGATTGAATTCTTCCCTCGACATATCCTTGTTGGTTGTATTGGTATGTAAAAAAAAATTAATTTTTAAAATTAATTAGTAATTAATTAATTCTTTTTTTTTGAATATTAATTATTCATTATTATTTATTTTCATTATTATTATTTTTTTTCATTTTTCTTTTCATTATTATTTTCATTTTCATTAATTAATGATTTTAGGAGGAGTTGGCTGGTTTTTGTTTGCCACAGCCATTGAAGTTACCGCTCTCATCGAAGGAAATTTAAAATATAATCTGGAAACTTTAAAATATCTTTTCCTTAATGCCCACATCTTTGCTTTGTGGACTTCCGCTTTAGGATTAGCCATTCTTTTAAGAATGATCCATATGAAATTTAATCATGACATGGTTGTTCCCTTTTATTTTATGATCATTCCTTTATTATTTTATTTCGTGGTTTACAACTTTGATTTGGATTGGAATAATCTACGTGAAACTGGTTGGGTATTTCCTATGCCAAAAGGGGATGTTCCTTGGAATAATTTTTATAGTCATTATGGTAAAGTTCATCTTTATTTTTGTTATATGTATCTATACGTGTATCTATATGTGTTTTGATATATATGTGTATCTATGTATATGGATATGTGTACATTAATGTTATCTCTTTTCTTCTTTTTCTAGATTTTTCTAAAACAAATTGGAGCGTTTTATTACAGACTGTTCCTGCAATGTTTGCTCTTACATTCTTTGGCATTTTACACGTACCAATTAATATTCCAGCTTTAGGTGTATCCCTTAACGAAGATAATGTTAATACAAATCGTGAATTAATAGCTCATGGTTTATCAAATATGTTTTCAGGGATGGTTGGCAGTGTTCAAAGTATGAATTTCTTTCTTTCTTTCCGTCTTTCTTTATTTATCTACTAATTCGTAATTAATATATATCGTAACGCATTTGTAATGTATTCACGTGTGTATTAGATTACTTGGTATATACAAATTCCGTTCTTTTCTACAAATCTGGTGGTGGAAATCGCGTAGCAGGATTGATGCTTGCGGCTGGAACTGCTATCATACTCTTCATTGGTCCTTGGATTGTGGGTTATGTCCCTATTATGGTTGTAGGTGCTTTGATCTTTCATTTAGGTTTAGAATTAATGAAAGAAGCATTGATTGATACCTGGCATACGGTGAATCGTATGGAATATTTCACTATAACCGTAATTGTTATCTTTATGGCTTTACTCGGTTTCATTGAGGGTATCTTCATAGGAATTATCATGGCTTGCATTTTCTTCGTGGTATCAAATTCAAGTAAAAATCCCATTCGTGCCACCTTCTTTAGAAGTTCAATCAAATCTACTGTTAGACGTCGTTATTGTCAACAACAATTTCTTAAGAAAGTTGGTAATCAAGTTTATGCGATTAGACTACAAGGTTACATGTTCTTTGGTACTACCAATAAAGTTGAAACTGCCATTCGTCATGCTTTAACCTTACGTCAATGGATTAGAAATCCTATTCGATTTTTAATTGTTGATTTCTCATTAGTAACTGGATTCGATTATAGCGCGGCGGAGACATTTATTAAGATTCAGAGACTTTTACAAACGAAGAATGTTTATTTGGTAATCTGTGGTGCATTGTATAATTCGGAAGTGGGTAAAGCTTTAAGAGTTGGAGGAATTTGGGGAGAAAATCCAAAAGAATTTATTCAGATATTCGAAAATTTCGATGAAGCATTAGAGTGGTGTGAAAATATGTTGTTACAAGCTTATTACAGTCTAAGATCTTCGGCAGTAAGAACAACTAATCAACAACAACAAACTTGTAAGCACTCATTTTTCATCTTTTATGTTTTTATTTTCCATTATTTATTATCAATTAATTATATAATATTATATATATGTATATAGCTTTACGTGTTACTCAGACTACTAGACAAACACCACCTAAAGAAATTTTTAATGTTTCTCCACGACACAAACTTGTTCAAGCTGCCGGAAGAGTAACGTTGCATGGTATGATGATGATGTTAAATATTATAATTATATTTACTTTATTTTTATTTTATTTATTTGTTTTGTATTATTTATTTATCCATCTTATTATTTTATTTATTTATCCATCTTATTATTTTATTTATTTATTTTATTTTTTATTTTTTTTTGTAGAAGAGCGTCCAAGAAAGTATCTTAGCAAAGCAACCAAAATTCTCATTGAAGCTTTTCAAGATATTACGGATAAGAATGAAGAATTCTTTAATCAATTGGCTCCCTACTTTCATGAAATTAAAGTTCCTGCGGGAGTAATCCTTTGGAAACAAGATGAACGACCAGATTGTCTTTATTTAGTTGAGAAAGGTATCCTCCGAGCAACTTGGAGAGCTACGGAAGGAGAACACGCTAAACCGGTTGAAAGTATTTTACCTGGTACATTAGCTGGTGAATTAGGATTTTTTGCTCAAAGAGATAGAGAAGCTACTTTGGTAGCAGAAAACGAATGCACCTTATGGAAAATGACGGAATCGGATTTTATGAAATTACCACCAAAGGTTGCAAATGATTTTATGAGATTGGCTTTAAATTTTTCGGCTGAAAGGTTAGGTACTATGACACAGTATGCTTTTCATTTGGCGCAATAGTATTTTATCTGGAGGGATTTCATGCTATTTTATGTTGGTATTCCATATTATATAGAAAATTCTGACATTTCATATATATAATTTTTATTGAATATTTATAACGCATTGTTGACCAATGTATATTAGATGTTTGGATTTTTTTTTATAAAAAAAAAAAAAGACTTTAATTGTTTTTAAGAAAAATAAATTTGTTTTTAATTAAATTATGTCATGAAAAACACAAAAAACTAATAAAATCTTCTGTTGAGATTTGAACACTTAGAAATAAATGGTAAATATGAATACAAAGATTTTTCTTGATCAAATTGGGATAGTTTTTGCAAGTTATCAATTAGTAATATATATATTGCTAGAAGAGATTGAGAAACAAATTTCAAGAAGTTTCATGTGAAATATTTTTTCTCTATCTCCAGTAATTCAACAATTAAATATTAGAATTAGATTATGGAAAATATATTATTCATCATTTATTATTTTATATAACTTTAATTTCTATAATTTATGTTTGATGACTTTTACTTAAAAAGAAATAATCATATCATCAGTCAAATCATGTTATAAAAGAGAATGTAACACCTTGTTTGAACAAAAAGCAGGTGGGATTTTTCTAGGATGGTTGTTGCAGGTTGCCGATCAGTAGTGCGTGCTGGTCATATAAAAAGGTTGAGTAATGGCCATGAATCAGTTCAGCAAAAAATAAAAATATATCTTAGAATTTTGATTTGGCACGTGATTTCCCTAAATTAAATGATGCACACCAGTTATTCTATAAATCACGTGAAACACATATATTAAATATCTTTTGATCTAGTAATCAGAATTTAATAAAAACAGTACCATTGAATAGCTCTTGAATAGATAAACAAAATAAGCAAAAAAAAATTCTCAATTTTTCTGGTTAGCAAAAACGTGATCTATGATGATTTTTATTGGTTAATAAAAAATATATTAATATATATTATTTATTATAATTATTTTCTAAAATAATTTGATATGATGATACAATAATATAAGGTAACTATTTTCTATGTAATTCTTAAATATGATACAGGTTTCTATTTTCTATAATATTATATTACTTGATATTTCTTTCATCTTTATTCTTTTATAAAGATAATAATATTTTAGCTTTTGTTTTGTTTTTTCATAATTTTATAAAAATTTGAAAGATATTTATTTACCTTTTTGAGATTTTTTCAAATTTCTTTCAAATTTCTTATAAATTTTCTATTATAATAATTA